TTTTTCCCCCCTACTGTGTTCTTGCCTTGGTTTATCTTGCCATACTATGTGTGCACAGAAACTCATGTGGTTACATCTTCAGTGTTGGTTGTGTTCAATATAAGTAGTGATATCTACACCCTACGGTGTGTAACACCTCCCATGTAACACCTCTCTTGCGCGAGCTGCACTGGCTCCCGGTGGTCTTCCGAGTGCGCTTCAAGGTTCTGGTTACCACCTTTAAAGCGCTCCATGGCTTAGGACCTGGTTATCTACGGGACCGCCTGCTACCACCAATAGCCTCCCACCGGCCAGTACGCTCCCATAGAGAGGGGCTCCTCCGGGTGCCGTCGGCCAAACAATGTCGACTGGCAGCCCCTAGGGGGAGAGCCTTCTCTATGGGGGCACCTACAATCTGGAACGAGCTCCCCCCGGAGATACGGAGGATCCCAGATCTGCGCACCTTCCGCCGCGCGCTTAAAACGTTTTTATTTCATCAAGCTGGCCTGGCCTAAATCTTCTCCCTTTTAAAATTTTTAAATTTAAATTTTAAACACTAATTTTAATTTGTTTAATTATGGGATATTTTTAAAATTGAGCCAAATTGTTTAATCTGTTTTAATCTATTTTAAATTTTGTATTCCTGTGTTTTATCTTTTGGCTGTTCACCGCCCTGAGTCCTTCGGGAGAAGGGCGGTATAGAAATCTAATAAAATAAAATAAATAAATAAATAAAAATAAAAAAGTTGATAAATGTTAAAAAAACTATATACTTATAGACCGAAATAACAGAATAACGAAGTTGGAAGGGACAAGCAGGAGACTCAACAGCAGGGGTCTCCAACCTTGTCAACTTTAAGCCTTGGGGGACTTCAACTCCCAGAATTCCCCAGCCAGCAAAGCTGGCTGGGGAATTCTGGGAGTTGAAGTCCGCCAAAGCTTAAAGTTGCCAAGGTTGGAGACCCTTGCTCTACAGCATATCATTCCGGACAAATGGCTGTCCAGTTTCTTTTTAAAACCTTCCAGTGATGGATGGATGGATGGATGGATGGATGGATGTTGAAAACCACCCTTCTCCCCATAGCCATGATTTTATGTGGAACAATATTCTCCTTGTGATTGATTATGGGCCATCAAGTTGTTGATTCTTACTGCTCACACAGATTTCCTCCTGGAGTTCTCAACGAAGAGGAGAGTTTCTTTTTCGTAGCAGCTGGCTTCTTTGTTTTTAAGAATCTTCCAACACTTATCCTAGGAAATATCTCCCTGTTTTCCTAAGCTTCCTGACATTACAGTAGTGGCCAAAATTGTGGAAACCTTTGGGAGTGTATTTTTGAGGTTTGATGGCTAATTACACCACTTTTTTTTTTTTTGAGTTTCAAGATAATCCTATTCCACTGCTGGAATGGCCTGGGAATAGCCCAGACCTTAACCCAATTGAAAAACTATGGAGCCAACTAAAGAAACTTGTTAGTCAGAAGCGACCCAGCAATCAAACCCAGTTCATAGAAGCAACCATTCAATCTTGGTTTCACATTATAACAGCTGCAGAACTCAAAGACTTGGTTCACTCCATGGGAAGACGTTGTAAGGCCGTAAATCATGTTAAAGGTTACCCAACTAAGTATTAACTGACATGGTGATAATTTTTGTATATCTCGTTTTTTCTACGTGTTTCACTTTTCTTCTTTATACTGTAACTGCTATTCTAATAGCAAATCCTTCCTAAAAGTTATTGCATTACAGTCTTGATTAAATTACCTTTCCATTGATATATAATTTTACGGTACTACTCAAAAAAAAAAAAAAAGTGGTGTTATTAGCTAGTTTTAGAAAATACACTTTTCCCAAAGGGTTTCCACAATTTTGGCCACTACAGTAGTTGATAGGAAATGTGCCCCAATTTCTAGTAATGGCCAGAAAGAATTCCAAGGATTGTATGTGGCAATGTCTGGAGAAATTGGAAACTGAAGAAATGACGTTAGGATGAGTCTTAAAAATGACAAATTAAAAGTATTTTGAATAGCAAATAATTTATGCAAAATATGTTACAAAAATCTAGGATGTTAAATAAATAATACAATGTATTCTCTTTTGACATTTTTGTAGGCTTGCATTTCTTTTAACAATATTCTGAAGATTTCCCCCCCCCCCCCAATAAGAGTTGCTTTATACAAAGGATTGAATGCATGTTTCTTAATTTTATTGATGAAGCCATTGTAAAATACTTGGAAGAAATATTGAGAAAAATAGATTTGTGGTTAAATTTATCTTTATTTATAAAAAAAGGATTGTTACTATTATATGAAATTTTGTCCCTCTAGTTTGGAAAACCCAAGAATCCTTGAATCTTTTTTCCTTCATAAGATCACCATAAGATGCATCTTCTGTTTTATGATGTAAAGTGATAGTGCTTTAATGAGTGGTTCAATAAACAGTATTATTAATAGATTTAAAGCTTTTTAATCACTCGCAACTAATCAAATTGTGTGTGGGATCCACTGGAATTCATGAAAAATTTTTTTGGGTAGACACTTTATACCTCTGCCATTTGATCTGCTATGCAAAAATGATTTTTTTAAAAAAATCCTTCACTGGTGTTTACAGCTACTAATTTTTAACGTTTTCATTATTCCCACATGGGAGAATATTTTAATTCTGCACATAAATTCATGAATATAAGATTGCAATTCAGTATAGATAATTTATGACCACAATTGGGACCAGAAAGTTTGCCACTGAGTAATGCGATTCTTAAATTGTGCCCATTTTTAATGACCCTTTTCGCTGGAGCCATCAAATCGCTGCGACCATTAAGTGAATTGTGATTGTTAATCACAATTGTTTTGTAACACAGATTGTAAAGTGAGTCTGGCTTCCCTCCCTGACTTGTCAGAAGGCCCCTGGCAAGATTGTAAATGATGATCATGTGACCTCAGGGCACTGCAACCATTATAAAAATCATGCCAGTTGTCACATGACCAAATTTTGATCTTGTGACTGCAGAGATGCCGCAAGGGTTGTAAGCAGGGGTGAAATGCTCCCGGTTCGGATCGGATCGCCTGATCCGGTAGCGATGGAGGCGGGTGGTTTGGAGAACCGGTAGCAAAAATCCCTGCCCTCCCCCATTGCCCAGCTGAGCTGCACAATCATCAGAGACTTTTTTTTTAATTTTTAAAAGCATTTTTTTCTACAACCTGTTTGGCTGAAAAAATGCTTTAAAAGTAAAAAAAAAAAGCCTCTGATGATCACGCGGCTCAGCTGGGATCATCAGAGGCTTTTAAAAAAAAAAAAAGCCTCTGCTGATCAGGCAACTCAGCTGGGATCGTCAGAGGCTTTAAAAACACTTTTTTTACAACCTCTTCAGCCGAAGAGGTTGTAGAAAAAATGGTTTTAAAAGTAAAAAAAAAAAAAAGTTGGCCACGCCCACTCAGTCATATTACCCCCCACCACCAAGCCATGCCCACAGAACCAGTACTAACAAATTTTACATTTCACCACTCGTTGTAAGTGTCAGGACCAGTTGTAAGTCACATTTTCCAGTGCTGACATAACTTTGAACGGCTGTTAAACGAATGGTGATAAGTTGAGGACTCCCTATACTACTTTCCTCTTAAAGTAGTAACAGATAGACACACAGAGAAAGGATATTCTTTGACTTTACTCTCTGTCAGCTTTGACCAAGAATGGAGATGTAATAACAAAAATAATAACAAAAAAAGGCCCTAATTTTGGGGGGGGGGTTTATGGTCAGTGGTGAATTTTTTTACTACCGGTTCTGTGGGCGTGGCATGGCTTGGAGGGCATGGCTTGGTGGACGTGGCAGGGGAAGGATACTGCAAAATCCCCATTTCCTCCCAATCAGCTGGGATTTGGGAGGCAAAGAATAGATGGGGGTGGGGCCAGTCAGAATTTTTACTACCGGTTCTCCAAACTACTCAAAATTTCCGTTACCGGTTCTCCAGAACTGATCAGAACCTGCTGAAACCCACCTCTGGATATGATCTACTGTACTCATTATGTGAAACAATAGATGATAAAATGATTTAAAATTAATGAAATGATTCAGGGACAACTACATGCATAAACCTGAAGTCTTCAATTAAAACGATCCTTCCCATTTAAAGGGGAAAACATTTATGTTCACACTTTGCAGATCTAAAGGAATGTGTGGCTGATTTATGACATAGGTACCCTGGCTAAGTGAGCTTTAGAATGACCCTGGACATGATGTTTTGGGGGTATTTGTGTAAAAATAAATTACGATCTATTCCCACCATGGAACACTTAGAAAATGGCTCCCTTACCTTTCAGATAATGAGCATGTCAGTGTAAATGCAAAACAAACCTGAAATGTGTGATTAGTTCTACACTTTATCCCTCTTGTGCAAGGCACGTGGGTTAGTCTCTTTGGAGTTCATCTTCCTTCCTTCTTTTGGAAAACCTTGGACATGTGCATATTGGCCAATGCCTATTTTAGGCAATGCTGAAATAACCCTAAAACATACCTGCAGACAATATATGTTACTACAACATGTTTAATCGTAATGTCTGATTGTCATGTTATTTTTACCTGCTGTGTCTATCACTTTGCTTTATAATGTAACTAAAGAAAACTATATCCAGGTCAACCCAGGGGTGAAATCTACTTACCTTCCTTACTGGTTCAGAAGTGCACACGCCCTGCGCACGCTCGCTCACTTTGCTAAAAAAAACATTACTTCCTGGTTAAAACCAGGAAGTAACAACACCCGGGCAGGTGGGTGGAGCCTTGTGCCACCATCGCTACCGAGCCACCGGACACAATCGCTACCGGATCACCTGATCCGGTCCGAACCAGGAGCATTTCACCCCTGGGTCAACCCTTCCCAATGTTTTTGTTTTTTCCAGTTAATGAAACTTTGTTGCTATGTTTACTGTCTTTGTCTTCAGCGGTGGTTCCCCCCCCACTCCTTTAGTCCATTCTATTATTGTATTGATGTTATGAAAGAATAAAAGAATGAGCCATTCATTCAGAAAAGTGTTGTTAAAATATCCCTCTTTATCATTACATTTCATTGCTTGAGAAAGCAATTTGCAATCCAAGGCAAGAGTTAATTTGGAGAACTGTTAAAAAATACTTTAATTTTAGTAGCTTTCTTCCCCTTGCCTTCCCCTCCCAAAGACCATGTCTACAAGTGTTTGAATAATCCAACTCTAATTTGGTTAATAGATTATTTCCAAAACATGTTGAAAGAATTGTGTTGTATGATAGTAGAGTCTGCGCCTAATTTGCACAGTGCAGATTTTAGGGTGCGTTTGTTTTGAGGGCATAAATGCAGAACGAACCAGTTTCTACAAATCTGAGAAACTCTGAATATAACACAAGCTTTGTTAATTTAAAATTTTAAAGACTGAAAATTGTAAAATAAAATAAAGCATGGTCCTGTACATTTCAGTACATTTCAGTATATTGAAACTTTACAATATGAAAAAATACATCAGCTCTGTACAGTCCCCCCCCTTTTTTACAGATAGGTAGGATGAGTTTTGAAAAAAAAAGATTTATTTTAAGGATCATACTTCATTTTTAAGTCAAAAAAAGACTGCACAACTTAGCTAATTACAAATCGTAGACTTGAAACAATCTGTATTTGAATGGTAACTTTTTAAACAGAATGGGGAGTTTTCAATCCATCCCTGGAGAAATACTGATTTAATTCTTCATGACAAACTAAAAAAAATAAAATAAAATAATGGTAATGATTCGGGTTATCTTTCTGACCACATAAGTAAGCTGAGTGTGATCACTGATTTCGTGCTGCTCTTGTGATTGTGCTCAGATCCAGGTCAGTCTCTAATGGTGTCTCCATTGTTTCTTCCTGTGCATTTGAGTCATAGGACTTATGACCAAGAAGTTCATGATGTACACCACAGTAACTTATTGTAGGCTGATCGTATGCAAGAAATGTAGACATATTCATAGATAAAGGTATCTGGAAAGGAAATAGATATGAAAAATAATTAGTAGAGAAGCATTTGAAGATGAAATTAGATTTAATGTCAGGAGACCATGATTAAGTCTGCTACCTTTCGGCAGGAGTGGGCAATTATGGCAAGTTCACAACCTGTGGACTTCAATTCCCAGAATTCCTGAGACAGCATGGCTCATGGCTGGCTCAGGAATTCTGGGAATTGAAGTCTACAGTTCATAAAGTTTGTCATAGTCACCCACCTCCTACTTTAGGGTATTTGCAAAAGCATGGAAAATAGGAAATTGGATTGCTCTGCAATGCTTGAATGAGGGGTGTATTCATTATGCACAGAGGTGGGCTTCACATACTGTAGCAACTGGTTTGCCCAGCACTGGAAATGTCATCACAAAACATGGCAATTCGCTCGCACGCACCGTCTGTACAGGGGTGTGGTGTCAAAAACCAGTGATATAGAATGGGATTGTGCTTGGGCAGGTAGGCGGCCACCCGCAGGTGGCCACTACCAGTTTGCCTGAATCAGTCCGAACCGGCTGAATACCACCTCTGATTGGTAGTAAATTGTAAAATTGTAGTTATTTTATTTCCAATTTTTTTATTTGTCCCTTAGAGCATAACATTTTTCATGAGAACAAATTAGGTAAGCCATAGTGGCAACCCCCTTCACTACAGTTCCACAGTCCTGAGCAGATTCTCTTCCCATATCTATGTACCTGCTTTAAATCTCTAAGAAAAATTATGTTTAGTTTATAGCAACTTTCAAAAAATGGAATCAAACCTAGAAATGGGGGGGGGCAGTGGCTTTGGAGCAGTGATTGTAAATAACCCTGTGAGATGCATCAAATTCTGAAAAATCATTTTTAAATTTGGCTACGAGAATTGTCATGCGGAAATTTCTCTCAAAGAATAATGCAGCGTAACCGTTGAGATGGCTTTATAGTGTAAAATTTTAAAGAGTAAATCTTTCCAAGTTGTGCACTTGAGTAAATCCCATTTCAGCCAGGAAATTTCTAGGCAAAGCGCACAGCCAGGTTAACACATTTTCTTCTCAAGCTCCGCTGGGAAGAAAGTGCTGCCTCCACAGCCTGTCTTTTACTGGTTCCAGTACTGAGGCTGGAACTGCTGTTGACTCTTCTCCTCCAAGTCCATTTGGGGAAGTTTCAGGGCAGTGATTAGTTATACCTTGAGAGTGCAGGGAGGAAGTCCACAGGCAAGTAGACAACAAGACCTCAGATGGATTTTCTGGGGCCTGTTGTAATCCCTTATCTTGTTTTCTATATACCAGATAAACTGTAGGAGACAACCAGGCTGAGCCTGAGGGAGGGGTCAAGTGAGTCATCAGATCTGAGTCCCTTCACGCGCACAAGAGATCTAGATCCAGCTCTCCTTGAATTCCATTTACTCTTATTTACCGCCAATTTGCTTTGACCGTTAGCAATTCAGATTCTTGTAGAGTTAGTGTATAATAAACCCGTATTAATTTGAACTGTCCTGCCTCAGAGCCTTGTCATTTCTCGTGCCTGACACAAACCTGTTCATTTTTACCAAGAAATATGCTGTTCACGCATAAGTGAAATTAACCAGACTGTGAAATTCACAGTAGTACTCCATTTCCCTCTCTCCTGCACCAATAAACTGTACCAAAAGAGGCTCACCTTTGCTTCTTTTCTCCAATTCAGATCAGTACATTTAAGATGATAGCAATAGGTTTGGAAGTGCGTTTTTTTCCAAACAAATATAAGAACTAAAGCAAAAATCAGCAATAGCAGCAACAACAACAAATTCTGGATTTCCATATTACCAAGACAGTTAGAAGATTGTCTTGATTCTGAATTTTTAGTACTTTAATGAGATACAAGGAGATACAAGAAGGATGATAATAATGATGGTGATAATCATGAGTAGTATTCCTGCAGGGCAAATGGAGCAAGTAACTTGCAGTTATTTCTTTGCATCCCCTACACGTATTTGCTCAGTACACATTACATGCCTTAATTTTGCATGTGGGTAACTTGTGATGCTGTTTTGAATTGTGGTGATTATTTGCCCCCCCCCACTATAAATAGTATTAAATTATGCACAAATTCATTCATTTATCTATTTTTGAAACCAAATAGTTTCTTTACTCCCCATAACTGCATACTAGACAAAGTATGTACGTATGTAGACATGTATTTACTTATTTTAGTCATTACATTTCTATATCACCCATCACACAATATATTTGTATGTATGTCTCAGTGTGTATATATAAAAATACCTAATGATCTTTTGAATTTGTTATATATACTTGGGTGTTCTCAGCTAATTACTGTGTGCTGACTTCTTCTAGTGGCCCTGTGAAAATATTATTTATTTATTTATTTATTTTATTAAACTTGTATGCCGCCCACTCTCCCAAAGGACTCAGGGCGGCTCACAACGATAAAAAACACATAAAATTCAGTATTCAAATATAAAAACCAATACAATCCCCTTTAAAAACCCCTTCAGTCCAATTCGGCCAGACCAAATAGCCATGTTTTGAGGTCACGGCGGAAAGAGCGAAGGTCAGGGGCCATCCGGAGCTCCAGGGGGAGCTGATTCCACAGAGTAGGCGCACCCACAGAGAAGGCCCGCTCCCTGGGAGTCGCCAGCCGACACTGTCTGGCCAACGGGACCCCAAGGAGGCCCTCCCTGTGAGAGCGCACCGGGTGATGGGGAGCTGTCGCTGGCCGCAGATGGTCCGCCAGGTACCCCGGGCCTAAGCCATGTAGGGCTTTATAGGAAAATATGATACCCTTGCACATATTTTAGGAGGAGAGCCATGTTAGTTTAGGACAGGGGTGTCAAACTCGTGGCCCACGTCCCGGATGCATCACCGCACTGGCCACCCCCACCCCCGGTTTAGTGAAGTGGGAAAAAGTCACAATACATCATGACAACATGATACCATGAGTTTGATGTAGGATGCAAAAGAACAGTACAAGTTTGATAGTATCTTTTCTGACTAACAAATTTTATTTATTGTTTTTAAAAAAGAACTTCAATGCCTTTTAATAAAATTTGTTACTTGAAAATAGTGCTATAAGACATGTTTTGGGTTGTTGTTGTTGTTTTTTTTGCCTTACACATATTGTTTAGTATCTTTTTCCCCAGTTCTCTCTTTTTAAAATACATTTTGTGCATTGTGTCCAAAAACATGTATTTAATGCAGTAGCTTTAAATTAAGCATTGATAACTTTAGTGTGATTGTTCTAGCTGTAAAGATAGGAGAATGAAGATTTTTACCCATCTCCCTCTGCTTTGGTAACTGAATAGTGTTCAGTTGGAAGCAGTAATGGGAACATGCTCACTTCTCTGTTCTGTAAAATATAAAACCTACCTCTTCCTAAGAAATAACACTGCTTGAGCTGTCTCTTGTGCCTCCCATAAACTGGAAGAAGCAAGATAATATCCATGATACATATTTGCTTATAGTTCAGTCTGTGTTTCAATACAGTAAGTGTTATGTCACCAGCATCTGACAAAAGAGACAACAGTCTGTTGTCTGATCCCAAGTCTGGTAAAGTTTCACATTCCAGGAACATAGATTATAGTCACTGAGAGAGAATGATTTTTGACAGAATGAAAAAAAAAAAAGTAAGTTGTAGAAAGAACAAGTGCTTGTACTTTTTTTTTTAACCCAATGAAAAATCAACAGCTTGCTACCAGATTAGGATATTACTCAGCGGTGGGATTCAAATAATTTAACAACCGGTTCTCTGCACTAATGACTAGCTGGGTGGGCGTGGTCATGGTGGATGTGGCCAGGGGGTGTGACAGGCAGCACTTGGCCACCTGCACCCCCCTGGGAGCAAAAACGGGGGGGATGTTCCACCCCCGTGACTCGTTTTGGGCCTAGGGAGGCCTCCCTGAAGCCTCCTGGGAGCAAAAATGGGCCACAGGGGGCCCCACACCACAACCTCCATGCCCCGGTTTGGGCCTAGGAGGCCTCCCTGCGCTTACCTGGGAGCCAAAATGGGACATGTGGGGACTCCTGGAAGGGGCAGGGCGGGGAGGGATGGAGCCAGCCAGCAATTTAACTATCGGCTCATCCGAACCAGCCCGAATCAGCTAAATCCTACCACTGATGTTACCCAAACAAGAAACAGAAGGAAATCAGGCCTTCTGAAGAAAAAAAAAAAGCCAGGCTTTTAGCCTTTTTAGGTAAAACGTACAGGTGTTAGATGTTAAAGAAATCTGAACATGGACAACTGTAGCATAAAGAGCGTTTGAAACTCAGCAGTTGCTGGAATTCTGTGATAAGAGCTTTATCAATTGAACAGAATCTTCATATTCTGAGGAATTTGGCATACAATGTTGAATGCATTTCAGTGTTGTATTATTGGCTTTTGATAGCCTGTCCTTAATGGAATATCTTTTTATTACAGTCCTAGAGTATGAAAAGAGCCAGTTTGGTGTAATGTTTAAAGGCACTGAAGTAGAAACCAGGAGGCTATGAGTTCTAAACCGCCCTTAGACAAAAGGATGTGTTTTGTCCTTGCATTCTTCTTGGGGCTGAAACAAAATGGCTTAATCAAAGGTACCCAGCTCTGTGTCTAAGGGAGGTTTAGAACTTTAATTATTGCCAAGAAAACTGCATGGACTTGGCCCCAGGGGTCAAGAATGACACAGAGATTTTTTTTATTAAAAAAAGATTTCAAAATATGTGAGTCATTTCTAATGAAGAAAAATAATTCTGCAAAACAGTGACTTTCTGTGATTTTTAAATAGCCTTTCCTATCTATATATCTTCTTTTGTACATGTATCAGACTCTCACGAGTAATGTGTTACTGAACCCAAACTGAGCAGCTCTGAGACATTTAGGGTAAAGAAGCTAATATTTATTTCAAATTAATAACAGAATCATAGTGACCCCATCCTTGAGATTTTTCATTCCAAAATAGTGTGCATATTTTAATAAATATATCCCTATAATGTGCTTTTGCATTAATATATCTCCTATCCTGGAAGAATAGTT